GCTTCCCAGCTCTGTCCTCCCACCCCCAAACTCCCTCATCCCTAGCTGAACACCAGGGTGCCATACCTGCCTCCTGTCTCTGTCCCTAGCCCCATCCTTTCCTTCATGTTCTGTGCGTCCAGAGTTTCTCTGTGATCTTTCTTGCTGCTCCAGTGTTCCAAGAGGACATTTGACCACCTTTTTACACCCACCTGGGCTCTCAGTTGGCCACCAACAACTTAGGCCCCAGTAGAAACTTGCCATGGTAACTTCCAGAATCCATCTCCACCTCTGCTTTCAACTTTGCTTCTCCATACCACTCCCTCCACCCCCAGCCCTGGTATCTTCCCAGAAATTCACTTACCCTTTTGAGTCTTTGCCCAAACTCTCTTACATATGAAAGCAATCTTTTGTCTCCTGATACACAGAGTCTTACCTCATTAATGCTTCCTTCTCTCTATTAACCACCAGCAAAGTGTCTGTGCTTTTTCCAAGGCCATGATGGCCTTGGACATTTGTTCCCATTCCCTCACCATTTACCACTACCAGCGTTTTCTCCCGCATCATCACTTATCCCTCCTCAACTGCATCATTTCTGTCAACATCCAACATGTTATGTCTCTAGCCTTTTTTAAAAAAAACTCTCTGGGGCCCACTTCCTCCTACAGCTCTATCCCCACTTTTCCGCACTTCTGTGAAACAAACCTCCTTGAATTGATTGCACTCGCTATCACCAACTGCTCTCCTTTCAGGCTTCCTGTGGAGGCAAGGCCTGTGTCTAGGTTACTGTTGTGTCTGGCATAGTTCCTGGCACACAGTAAGTACTCAAATATGTTCATTGTTGAATGCAGGATGCCCTCAAAGTCATTTATATTGTGACTCTTTTGGGGACATTCTCATCAACTGATCTCCATTCTAGGAGGCATTTATTCCGTGCAGCTGAAAGGCAGTGGGGGTCAAACAGGCAACAGGGCTACAGCAAGCTCCCAGATGATTTACCCCTTAAAATCTAATCAATAACACAACAGGGTGCAGAGAGAGGAGATTCTATCATTTGCTTTTAATGTCTGGTCATATTAGCTACAGGCTTTTGACACACAGAAAGTACCTCCTCAAGGAGAGAGCAATGTAACACTCCTCTAAAAACCTTCCCTCCAGATTGTGGGCACATATAGAGTTACTGATGAATTGTGCCCTGGGTCAAAAATGCACTAGATTCCCAGCCATCACTTCTTTGTACTATCACCATGAACACTTGCTCCTCTGGGGCCCAAAGACAACATACAAAGCCATGGAAGTCAGGCCTGATTTTTACCTTCAATGAACCTTAGATGAGGGTCTTCCTTCTCTGCTCAAATCCCTTTATCCACAGTCCAGGGTGGAACTGAAAGAGTTGTGTAGAATGCTGACCTATCTAAAATATGGGCTTAAGATTCCCTACCATATGGGAAATATAATCTACCTCCTCTACTCTCTCCCTCACACACCACATTGAAAATGAGAGGCACAAACAGGTGGTTCTTTGCTTAGAGGTATTGAGTATATTTGGAGAGGGTCCTGCCTCACCTGCATATTAATGGAAATGATGATGACGGCCTTTTTCAGGAGGATGCAGAAGTTTAGGAATCTGTGAACTCCTTTTTCCTGGACTGGGTATTCTCCTTGTGTAGACAAGTGGCTTCTGCTGAGGTAAGAGTTGAGACATGGGGTGGGTTTTTTGAATGTGTAGAACAAGTCAGCTGAGGACAGTGCTTTGAGCTGTTGCGGGAAAGGCACAGGGTCCAGGACTGGCTGGACTGAACGGAGCGTTGCTGGAACTCGTTGTCAAGGCATTGGAGGGCATCAAAGAAGGCCATGCCCTCCTCCTCTGCTGTCTTCTCCGACTTAGCCCCCTTCACAGGGCGTTTGGTGGGTGGTGGACTCTTCTCAACCTTTTTTGTCTTGGTTTTGGCCACTTTCTCATCCTTAGAGAGGTGAACGGATTCCTTATGCCCTTGAACTTTCACCTTCGGGTGAATCCGGTTTGTAAAGTGCTTCATCTTGTCTCCCAAGCCAGCTTCAGCAGCTTCTGGAAGGGTAGGGCTCTTGTGAGTATGGGCTGTCTTTACCAGACCCTGCAGCTCTTGGAGGCCCTGGAAAGTGTGGCCCTACAAATTTTGTCTCTGCAAAGTTTGAATCTAAAAAATGTGGCTCCTTCAAATGCTGGACTTGTAAAATGTGGCCCAGCAAGGAAGGTCTTGCCCTTTAAGCTCTGGACACTCCAGATACGGCATTCTCAGGAATCCTTGTTTGGGTGAGGTCATTCAGCTTGCTCTAACAGCCTGACAGACCATTCTTATCTGGTCCTTTTGCCCTCAAGGAATCCTGGAGGATGCTCTAGGAACTCAAGGTAAGGGAGAAGCTGGTAAAGTAACTGACAGGGGGCACTAAGCTAAGAGGATGGAGATGGTAGCTCTAAAGATCCAGACAGATCCTTGCTAGTCCCTACTCACTCAAGGCAACCACCCTGGCCAAAGTAAAATTTTAGCTGAGAAAGATCCTGGAGACACATTTGGGAACTCAGGGGCTCTGGGGGTTCTACCTAGAAGTGCCCCTACTGGAACATTAGCAGAGAAGTTGTTCTCTCTGGTTGGGTTGAGACATTTATGTACGAGTACTTAAAGATACCTCAGGGATCTGGGGACACAGGAACATCAGATAAAGGGAATGAAAGGCCACTGGGTATTTTCGGTTTGTGAGCTTTGGGTTCAGGGATAGAAAAGGAATCAGATATTCAAAGAGCTGCTGACCTTGTTTCTCTGGGACACATTCGGAATTCCTCTTCTTCTTGTCTTGCTGGTTCACAGGAATCCTATGCTCTTCAAGGCTTGAAGAAGACAGAACTTCGGCATCCCAGGACACCTCTGGCCCTTGAAATCCCTGCCTTAGTTGCCGGTGGTCAGCCCAGTAATCATGGATGCTGACTGCACTGGCTGACTTGGCAGCTGTCTTAGCAACTGACTGGGTTAAGGATTTCTGATGTGTTAGCTGTGACACTGCGCAGGCTGCTGGTGGAAGTGAAAGCTCTTTGGAGTGCACAGAATCCTGACTCTGATCAAAAGAGAGACTAGACATGGACATAATCTCTAAGCAAGAGGATCCCTGAGATGGCCCTGATGAAGCTGGGGTGGTGTGGGTGGTCTCACCCGACAGCAACTGCTGAATCTCCAGAGCCACAGCATTGCAGATGTGGCAGCAGGGATCTGCACACAGGAGCCGTCGCACACTCCCCTCCTGAGGAAGCCAGCCCTGGCTGGGAAGGGAAACAGGGCAACCATTTGTTACTGATGGAGTGACATCTGCCTCTCTGCAAGTGTGTGGCCTGGAAACTGGCCCTGCCCGCCTCCCCTAGTCCTGTAAGCCCTGGGGCTGCACCTCCTGGGTGTTTACTCATCAAATTTTCTTCCCTGGGAAACGCCATCGGCAAGTTATGATGCG